GACGATTGTAGATGCACATAGGGAGCATATACTTGAAGAGAAGTAACTGTGGGATGGCTAGGGTTTTTTCCAAGAACAAAAAAAGAAAGATTCTACAGCAAATATGACCCTCTAGAAGCGTGCGTTTAGAACTTCAAAGGGTATTTAGCGCAAGTATATGCTGGATTTATCGGATCATCTCGAGCTTCCTTTGAAGAGGATGATGAATCAATCCGTTTTACAGGAGAGAGGATGAATATTATTATCATTTTTTTCCTTTTTACTGGGCATTGGATATTCTCGTTTTGTTTTTTCTCTAGTTTGGCAGTACAGAACCTCATAATCTGGAATCACATTCTCTCTGACAATCCATGTTTATGGTATTTTGAAGGAGTATAAACCCGACCCCAATTGAATTATCCGAGCTTTCGGAGTGTCGATTGAACATTGGAACAGAGTGGATGGAGAATGGCATCTTGATCTGGAGAGATGGGACCCTGTGATATTCTAAGATGCAATGTTTATGACAAGATTAGAGTAACGTGTAAGCAGTTTTAGATATTAAAGACGCATTGGTTGGGTTCGACCTTTTCTCTTTGGTAGTGGCTTTATTCAAATATAATTGATACTTTTATTCTTCTGAAGCCCATGGCTGAAAACTAGGAACGGTGGATACATGATGTGGGGTACCCTTGAGATAACTTAAAATTATTGAAAAAAATGCCCCCGATGGATTTGACCTCTACATACCTTGAAGAAAATTATGCATCTCATGCACAAAAGACATAATATTTGTGTGTTAGCCATATTTCATCAAAAACTGGCAAATTTCTGTTGTTCACTGTCCAAAAAATCAATAAATAAATTTTGGTGAATTGTTCGAACGAGAGTTGGCAAATCAAAACTAGTTGTTTAACCAATAGGAGAAAAAGCAGTGAGTCAGGCAAATAAATGTCGATAAATTCACACGAGGGTTGACAAATCTAGGGCGTTGGGAAGAATGGCAAATAAGAGTTGGTCGACGACTACAAGACTCGAAAAAATTTAAAAGAAGGAACCAAATAAATGTCGATGAGTAATTTAGATGAGAGTTGGAAACCCTTAATTGATGTTAATTCAGTCCTAAACCTTCCAATTCTGCCAATTTAGTCATAAATCTTTTTGCATTTGTGCCAATTAAGTCCATCCGGCTAATTTTGGCTGAAAATTGTTGACGTGGATGTCGGCCGTCCTACGTGGCACGGCCGGCACTGATATGGATAATTTTTAATGCTATTTTAATTTTTTTTCGATTTTTAATTTTTAATTTTAATTTTTCCTTTTCTTTTATTTTTTATTTTTCTTTTTTTTCCTTCATTTTTTTCCAAACCCTGGCCGGTGAGGTCTACAGTCGACCATCGCCGACCATAGGTAAGGGTGCGAAGGCCCTTGCCTGGTGTGAGCGAGGGCTGAAATGCCCTTACCGGCCAACGGGCGAGATTTGGGTGAGGGCTCGACGCCCTCATTTGTGGTCGGCAAGGGCGTGGAGGCCCTTGCCCGTGGCCGGCAAGGGCCGCGACGCCCTTGCCCAGCCCATGCGGGGATCGCTGGGCCTCGCCTATGGTCGGAGACCATCACCAGCCAGGATTTGGAAAAAAAAAAAAGAAAAAGGAAAGGAAAGAATAAAAAAAAAAGGAAAAAATTATTAAAAATTCGAAAATTATTAAAAATATTATTAAAATTGTTTACGTCAGCGTCGGCCGTACCACGACGATTGGCGTCCATGTCAGCGATTTTCGGCCAAAATTGACCGGATAGACTAAATTGGCACTAGGTCAAAAGGTTTATGACTAAATTGGCACAATTAAAAGGTTTAGGACTAAATTGACATTAATACAATAAGTTTAGGATTTTTTTGATATTTTTTCCCTTTATCAACTCTTTCAGAAATCTATCGGAGCGAAACTTATTGCTGGACAACGACTCTTGCAAAAAGCAAACCTGTACGCGGTCGATGTTAAGCAAACAATAAGACTAATCAAAGGAATATCATCTTGTTACCATTCGAATTACTGTCTCTGTCGTTCCCCGCTCACGGTGTTTTGCGGACCGCCACATGTGTGACGCAATCATATTTCCAGCTTCACATAAAAGTCAATGTTGGCAGAATAATAGGCACGTGAGGGGTCTGATAATAAATCCTTCGTGTCTGACCCTACAAGGAATAACAGATGACAGAGATCATCATCATCGCCATCATCAGATAGGTCGCGCAACCACAGTAATGCGATCTGAATCGACCCCCATTTCCATACGCAGCTTCTTTTCTGATTGGCTAGGCTCTCCATGATTCTAATGTGGTTTCCTCTCCTTTCACTCAAGTTTTCCAATTGTAAATTAGATCTCTCATCTCGTCTTGGGCTTCAGAAATGAAATTGGGTATGTACCAATGAGAAGTAAAAATTAAAGTTAGGTATCACAGGCAAGGTGTGCTGGGGCTACTAATGTGACTCGTGAGTAAAATGTACCCCACTAGTCACACGAATTTCCGGAGATGAAATTGCATTTTGGGTGTTTGTTAGTCTAGATTCTCTCTCTTTACAACAAAGCACGTTGTAGACGTTGGATGCCTAGCTTGCATTGTAAGATAAAGTGTCGAACCCCAACAAGTGAATTGATTCGGTATAGCGATTAAGCTTTTGTGTCTCCTGCCCAAAGAACTGATCTTATCGGTGTTGGTATATGTCACCTAGTGATGCTCCATCCATTTGATGTGCAGTTCTGCCTCCCTCGCCATCTTATAAGAATGTCAAGAGTCGCATCTTGTTCGAATCTTCTCGTTGCGACGATTACTTTTCGCCCTAGTCTGATCAAGTATAGCCAATAGACTTACTGGGGAGGAGCTTGCTTGATATCATCTATAAAGACCTTACCCAATTCACACTGGTCAAACTCCCAAAATGAGCACTCTGCTCACCATGTAGGTGGGTCTTACTTTTGAATGACGACACAAGCTCTCGTCCATCTCATGCGAGGTCTTTGAGATGTTATGCTTGGACTAAATCGGGAAAATGGAGCGTCTCGTCACTTTAAGCGAAAAGTCCATTTGAATCTTATTAGGGTCAATACGAGTCATCAACCCTATTAAACCCGACCCTATTTAATGCATGACCTCTAATTGGTGAAGAGGTGTCTGAGAGAGAGAGAGAGAGAGAGAGAGAGAGAGAGAGAGAGAGAGAGAGAGAGAGAGAGAGAGAGAGAGAGAGAGAGAGAGAGAGAGAGAGAGAGAGAGAGAGAGAGAGAGAGAGCACTATGGTGTATCTTCTTTGAGTCAGCCGGCTTAGGCACGCTGTCAATTTTCCACGATCATAGTGCAGATGTTACGGTCCACATTCACATATACCCCGCACAGAGAGAGAGTGAGAGAAAGAGACAGAGCAACGGCTACGGATTTGGGAATTTTTCTTCAGGCACTTTGTGGAAGCTTACATAGATAAAAATGCAGTCATGTTGACCATGTGGAGTGAGAGAGTGGGGGGGTTTCAGTTTCACACATGGAATTTAGAACTTGGAAACTTCTTCCCCATCATCCCTTACGTCCACCATTCTTAATAATGCTTCTTTTCTTCAAGCAGCCACAGCATATTTCATCTAACTCTATATATATATATATAAGCTCCAAGCTTATCCTAGAAGTGCACACCATCATCTCCCAAGGATACTCCCCACATTTGCTAATCTCCCTCCTCTTTAGGAATAATCCAATAGCCAAACCGCGTTCCCTAAAAGTAGATAAAATTGCATCATGTGCAGAATTTCGATCCATCCAATCTTCCTTAGTGGAGGAATCATCACATCCTTAGCCATTTGTTTATAGTGGCAGAACATAGTTAATCGCGAAAAGAGGACGGCATGAGGAAAGCGTGGGAGATACTCGAAGATTAAGCGAGATGTTAGTGCTCGTTGTTAATGCTAAACCAGACTTAGTGGCTTAATTGGCTTAGATATTTAGAGGAAAGATCATCGATGCCCACTTAGGAGGATTCATGATTATAATTATGAGATAATGCATGTTAATGATTGGTACTTGTGTTTGTTCCAAAGTACATACCTATGTATAGTTCTAACATATTCGAAAACAAATATTAAGTAGACTCCCTCCAAATGAGCTCAACTTGCCCTCGATCCTTCTCTCTAGAAGTAATCACTTGTAAGAACAGAAATACTCACTTCGAACAATTACGCATCTAATAGACTTGATTGCACCCATTAAAAATTTTAGGATGTAGTTGCGTTCCGTTCATATCTCGACAATAAATAAGATTATCCCAAAAACATGAATATCTTCCATTAAATGATGCAGCAATCCAATCCTATACGCCGGCATTCAAGCGCATGTCTTCCATTTCCTTCCTTTTGGGTATGCAAAACGAACGGGACTTTCTGGTTATCCTCAACTAGTGGAAAATCAGGCTGGTCTAATAGGAGGCAGCCTTAGTGCATGGTGTGCCTATACATTGATTAACCCAAATGACCTTCCTTCCCGCAAGCAACTTAATCCTCAAAAACACATTCGCCCATCATTTTCGTGATCTTCCTGAACTAAATGGTCAACACGTAATTTGAGGATGGAAATTACAAACTTTGCAACCTCTGCATTACATGTTATATAATCTCCCTCCAAAGGGCCTTTTTTTAAATCCCATAGTTTTCGAACGATCTCCATAGAATGCATATGTTGGCCACGAAGCTTCTTGCGGTGACGGCGGTCCGATCAGTTTCCGGCGAAGCGGGCATCTGAGAAAACCCCCCCTTTCAAGTGGGAGGGAATGATAGGATCGAATTAATGCTTGCCAAGGGATAAGCGAATGTGCCCACCAGGAATAAGTACTTGCTACCTCATCATCACGCGTCTCAAGCTCGCTCTTTTTCCTCGTATAAATACATGATCACGAGCTTCAATTGAACCAATCGAGCAGCTCACTCCCAAAACAGGGCCTTAAGACATCATCCGTCGTTAGCACAAAAGAGACAGAGAGAGAGAGAGAGAGAGAGAGAGAGAGAGAGAGAGAGAGAGAGAGAGAGAGAGAGAGAGAAATATGGTGAAATTCTCTAAGCAGTTCGAGGGTCAGCTTGTGCCTGAGTGGAAAGAGAACTTTGTGGATTATTGGCAACTCAAGAAGGACCTCAAGAAAATCCATCTCCTTAACTCAGACACCTCGAAAACTGACAATCACCACTGCAACAGCTCTTCTCAGAACAGCATCTTGTCCTCTCTCAGGAAGTTCTCTGTGCTGGGCCAGAGGCACAGAGAAAATGGAGTCATTCAAGTAAAATCTTGTCCACTATACAGTCTAATTATATGCCTATGCCTGAGCATGAACTCATTTGCCTGTTGTTTTGGCGGTGATTCTAGGTGCACAGAAAGCTCGCGTCTTCGGCTAGCAGGGGCGACGTCTACGAGACCGAGCTGCACGAGCAGTTGGCTGATTCGGAGGCCGCGAAGGAGTTCTTCACATGCCTGGACTTCCAGCTCAATAAAGTGAACCAGTTCTACAGGACAAAGGAGGAGGAGTTCTTGAACAGAGGGGAGAAACTGAGGAAGCAAATGGATGTACTGGTTGAGCTCAAGGCCGCACTCAAGCAACAGCAAGGCGAGGGGGCCTTGAGCCAAGATTTCAAGGAGGATGTTTCCATTTCATCCCACATCTCCTCTGGTATCTAATCCTTAGCCTTCGACTTTTTTGAAGTCATAATATAACCTTGTAACAGGACTGGTTCTTCCTGGAAACCATTACTCTAGGCCATTGCGACTACTCACAGGCTCTGTGTTTCCTCATTAAAGAAACCAACTTCATTAACATCTAGGATAGATCAATGCCATTTTTCTAATACACTTTTATGACATGCTTGTACTAAGTATGTTCGGCATAGTGGCGCTTCCGTAAAAATGATCACTATGTATTTTGTAGGGATTTATTGTGGATGATCATGTAAATTATATCGGATACTTTCTCTACGAGTTTGATTAAAAAAATGTGAAGGGGTGAAAATAACAGCATTTTAGTAAATTTGGAAGGAGAAAAACATAGAGAATATCAGGATCATGACCCTTAATTTTGACATCTTTTTAAGAAAAGACAATTATTAAGCAAACTACAACGAAATGATCACTCGAGTTTTTACTTTTATCTTGCTGCAGAGGAGTCAGTTAAGGACAGAGCAGAACAAGAGCAGCAGCAGCAGGAAGCTAACACAGATGACCCAGAGACAAATGAAATGCCATTCTCAGAGTTTCCGAAAGCAGAGGAAATTGGGGATTCGAAGAGAATCAAAAGAGAGGACAGCAAACTGCGGTCGCTCTCAACTCGCTCTTTCAACTGCCAAGGAAAGAACTTGAAGATCAACATCCCTCTAACTACGCCAACTCGTACATTTTCTGCGATCACTTACCTAGTTTGGGAAGACTTGATCAATCAGTCCTCTAAAAAGTGCAATTCAGATGGTGGCAAACTGAATATCAACAGAACAAAGTTACGCAGAGCAGAAAAGATGATCAGAGGAGCTTTTGTTGAGCTTTACAAGGGTTTGGGCTACCTTGAAACTTACAGGTATCTGAAATTTTGATTCACATGAAAAAGACCACAAAAGTTTATCGAATCATCTGATTCAGAAGAGTATCTTTCGTGTTAACCAAGATGACCATTTACCATCAGGAACTTGAACATGCTGGCTTTTGTAAAGATCTTGAAGAAGTTTGACAAAGTAAGTGATGGTGGACCAAACTTTTAATTCTTTCTCTACTGTCTAAATATATCTCCCGATATTTTTATATCTAAAAGAAACAAGAAAAGTAAAATGGGTATTGGTTTCTTGATTGATTCAGGTGACCGGAAAGCAAGTTCTTCCAATTTACCTGAGAGTCGTGGAGAGCTCCTACTTTAACAGCTCGAACAAGGTAAAAGTTTCAAATCTTTTAGTAAATGCTTTATCATCTGCAATTTCCGAAACAGAACACACCCCATGAAAATCATATATTGGAGACCGCTTCAGATGATGGCCACAACATTACATCTGAATATATGCCGACCGGACAAAGTGGTCCATCGGTCCTAGATTTCATGTGTGTCGTGTGTTCATAACGAATGGCCTCCTTTGGATTCTAGTGTTTCTGCTTAGATATTCTTGTCTAAACATGAAAAAGAAGAAAAGCTGTTTGCTGAAGAACGTGACAAATGACAGGTGATGAATTTGGGTGACGAAGTTGAGGACCTATTTATCAAGCACTTTGCCGAGGAGGACCGTACAAAGGCCATGAAGTACTTGAAGCCTCGTCAGCGCAAAGACTCCCATGGCAAGACCTTTTTCATAGGTAACTTTCATGATCCTTCTTTGCTAGAAAAATAATATGATCCCCCATAAACAATAGCTCCAAACTTGATAATGTTTTAAAATGACATCTTTTTTCGTTAGTTAATGGAGATTTCTTTAGCAATCTCAAAGGAAAAGCAGGAAATAGGGCCCCATCGGGCTACTAGCAGTGGCAATGAGTGGTTCAGTCTTTTCTTTTTCCTGGTGGGATCGAAAGTGTGAGTGAAAGTGAAAGGCCCCATGCAACAGCGTAGTAATAGTATCGAACCATTAAATGGCAAAATCATTTAGAATTCCAATTTAATAGGGTAACCAATTTAATAGATTCTGTCAGCATATGCATGAATTTTAGGCTTCAACGGAATTGTAATTAACTGGCACAGAGACCAACTCAAGCATTACTCTGTCCTAATCAGGGATATTTACTGGCTGTTTCATTGCGCTTTTGGCTGGATACATAATCATGGCTCACATGACCGGGATGTACACACGGAAAGGTGACACGGTCTACATGGAAACAGTCTATCCAGTTTTAAGGCAAGTGCATAATCGAATTTATGAGAGCTCTAGAACTTTGTGATATACCCAATTCAACTAAGAGAATTGAACTTATTTATTGGTTTGCACTTTGCAGCATGTTCAGCCTTTTGTTTCTGCACTTCTTCCTATACGGTTGCAACATTTTTGCATGGAAAAAAGTGAGGATAAATTATAGCTTCATCTTCGAGCTGGCCCCTACCAAGGAGCTTAAGTACAGAGATGTTTTCTTGATCTGTGCGTCATCAATGGCTGTCATTCTAGGCGTTATGTTCGCTCATCTGTCGCTACAACAGAAAGGGTATACCTCTGCTCAAGTAAAGGCGATCCCAGGACTGCTTTTACTGGTAAATCTCTTACTTTCAGGATAGCAAGAATGAAAATAATAAATCGTCTGGATTCAAATTCTTCGAACTGATCAGCATATTGCTCTTATTTGGCAACGCAGGCATTCCTACTTGTCCTTGTGTGCCCATTTAACATTCTCTATCAGTCGAGCCGTTACCGTTTCCTTGGTGTGATGAGAAACATAATTCTGTCCCCTCTTTACGAGGTACTAATTCTCCTACTTCTGATGATGCAATCTAAGATTTTGAGCCCAAGTTTGTAGGGGAAAAGCATGTCAATCTTAGTTGTTCCATCTTATGGCCTAATGCAGGTTGTCATGCTGGACTTTTTCATGGCTGACCAACTGTGTAGTCAGGTAAGGCTTTAGGACTCAACCCATCATCAAGAATCTGGTTCCCTGAATAGAAGTTTGTTCTGATGCGTAATTTGTGAATTCATGACAGGTTCCAATGCTTAGAAACCTTGAATATGTAGCATGTTACTACATAACTGGCAGCTTCAAGACTCAAGACTATGGCTATTGCATGAGGACTAAGCACTACCAGGACCTGGCATACGCGGTGTCCTTCCTGCCCTACTATTGGAGAGCAATGCAGGTCTGTTTGATCACCGTGGCTCCGTGGTCAATATGAATAACATATTAGTGTTGTGATTCTCATATTTGGAAGGGTCAAGAAAGATTAATCTGATCAAATACCAAAAACATTTGTTTTGCAGTGTGCTCGCCGATGGTTTGATCAAGGAGAGACGAATAATCTAGTAAATCTAGGGAAATACGTGTCAGCTATGTTTGCAGCTGGGGCTAAAGTTGCATACGAGAAAGAAAGAAGCATTGGGTGGTTGTGTCTTTTTGTGGTCGTTTCGAGTTCCGCAACTGTGTACCAACTATACTGGGACTTTGTAAAGGACTGGGGTTTGCTCCAAATGAATTCCAAGAACCCGTGGTTGAGGAACGAGTTAATGCTACGCCGGAAAATCGTATACTACGCCTCCATGGTATATATACACATGCTTCCCCAAGAGAATAGCAGAAATTACAAGATGTCAACTAATTTTTGAATTGATCGTGTTAGAAAGGCTCTTTTTCCCGAAATCAGATGAAAAACAAATCCTTCTTTAACATGACGGGAGATTTTTTTGAAAATATCAACTATGATTTCGTTCTTTGGTTGAAACAACGGTATGATCTTTGATTTCAACATCGTTTTGTGACGGAAATTATGGTATGTCATGCAGGGTCTGAACCTCATTCTGAGGCTTGCTTGGTTGCAAACAGTTCTTCACTACAGTTTTGAGCATGTTGATTACCGCCTGACGGGGCTATTTTTAGCAGCCCTTGAAGTTACTCGGAGAGGACTTTGGAATTTCTTCAGGTAACTATATTTTAACATGTTATTCTCAATCTTATGCATTCTCATGAGTTGCCGAATATGCAAGCAGATAAGAATAGTTCCATTACAGATGCACAAACGATAGATAAATTCGTCCCACTTGTATGCAGGTTGGAGAATGAGCATTTGAACAATGCAGGAAAATTCAGAGCAGTGAAGACAGTACCACTTCCCTTCCATGAAGTGGGTGAGGAAGATTGATGCCAATTTTAGCTACAGTTGCTTAGAGAATCTTATTCTTTGCGAAATGCGCGGTGCGCGAAACCTCTCCCACAAATTTCTCCGAGCCCTTAATGTCCTTTTTCGACAAACTGATGCAACGTGTTATCAGAATCTTCTCATTGTTCGGTGGCACACATAAACAATGTCCATAACTTGTACACAGAATTTTTCTTTCAACAAAGATAAACAAATTAATGCTTAGTTGTTATGCTCGTTCATTGGTTGCCACATTGACTTGACATTGACATCCGTATCGACGTCTGTTTGCCTCAGAATCTGAAACGTCCATCCCGATCTCGAACTATTAGTGACATTCATTCCTTACCAGCAACCTTTTCAACAATTAATAGAGGTCCTTTTTTGCAAGAATTAGCAAAATAAAACATGTACACATTCTTGATCAGCCTGCTATACCATACATAATGGCAAGTGCGAAAGGACACAAAATACAAGTTCCAAGAATGCCAACAACAAACCCCGTTCGATAAAAGCCGGTTCGTATGGATATTTTCTTTAAACTTGCATCATCCCGAGCCCGGGTTGCCTGTGGGCTCGGCTATCCCCGCGACGACGCCGATGACAACGCCTGCGATAATCACCACAGTAATTCCCATGACAACGAGGTTGGCAAGGTCCTCCATGCGCTCAGATTCATCTTGTAAATCCATCAGGAACGATTGAACGGAGAGCTGATGAGAAGTGGGGAGGGGGAAAACAAGAAACAGAGTCTCGCTTCTCTTCTCTGTGCCTTTTGAAACGCGAGGAAAGGGAATGACTTCGTCCGTCGGCCTATGCTGGTTGAAGCAGTTTCGTCATGATCAGACAACGGAGGTTGGAAAGACAGCCAACCTGAGTTTCAGACCGCTCATGAGCACCAGACCCCAAAAACAACTCAGTCGTCCCATCGACACGCGCATGGCTTTTCTTGGCTGGTTTCGGTTTATGATCCCAGAACTGACGATGAATTTGTTCAAACGAACGTTTGTGTGGGCTTTGATGACCTTCTGCACTATATAAACCTGCGAACTCTGTTCATCTTGGGCCCTTCAAGCTCGAATAACCGAAGCAAGAACCAGACTTTGTGAAAGCCACACGACATTGGCTCGAGCAACATCGTTGGGCTTTCAAGCGTGAACGGCATCAAAAACCTACAAAAACCATATCAAACGACACGCGTTTAAGATCAATTTTTTTTTTAGAGTTAACACAACGAAAAATCTCAAACCGGTATACACTTGTGACAAATTAGATTTATCCCAAACTAATTTGTCACATACGTACCAATTTGAGATTTTTCATGGTATTAACCAAGCACGCATTTAGCTCGATCCTGATTCATTCCCTTCAACCAAAACCTAATGATGAGCTTAAAAAAACCTATTTTCTAATACTATATCTTGAACCGTCGATTCATCGTTGCCGTCCACATTGTAATGCGGCCTTCTTAATTACAAGTAATATCTGTCTATCCAACGCCAAGCCGGCCACATCCAACCGAAACCTCACCAACCCCTAAGCCCTAACTGGCCAAATATCTCCAAAATAAGCACACAAAAAACCTACCAAAAATAATTCATCGCGCCCCTAATATTCAATTCCCAGTTTTCCCCTCGTTCCAAAAGTCAACAATCATGAACACGACATTACGAAGATGATGCGCATCTCTAATGAGATAAGGCCAGTTGTTGCACATCGATTGCGTCTCTGTGTGTTTTCCACAGTGAAAAGACAACGATCGCTACGTGCCGTTTAGCAGCCTAGCCCAGACATTTTACATTTGTCACATTTGTTTTAAGTATCGTGCTTATTACCTTTTGGCACCCATGAATCATCTGACGTTCCTGGGGCCAACCGTAAGGATGGGATCATCTTTCGCTGTCGTGCAGGGTCGAATCGACAACCGCATTTGACGTGAAAACCCTGGAATTAGATGAGCTTGTTTGACGGGACGATGTTTTCCACGAACCCAAACCAAACGGCACCTCCTTTTTGGGGTTTTGGTCTTGATGTTTGGCTCTTTCACAATTATACGTAGTCGGTTCCGATTATGTTTTTGTGGCTGAAAATTATTCGTACCCACGCAAGGTGAGGGATTGCCTAACCCCTAATCTAGCATTCGTGTCACTAATCATCCGGTCTCGATACGGTACAAGCACGACTGAAAAGATGGATCACTAAATGTTAGATTAATAAAATTACCATTGATATTGTCGTGTCTATTGTTGATATGCATATGTGAGATTGGAAAATCGATATGGTTTTGAGTAGTTAATATATCACAATTAACCCATAGTTTATTGAATTAAACTTTTGAGTAATTGTGAGTCTAACTGAATACGTTGAATGTGGATGTATTAGCTTTTGCTGTTCATGGTATCAAAAAGGCAATGGTTGCTTGGTGCTCCAACCTCATGGGGCAAAATCCTAACAAGTGTTCAAGGTGCACTTTTTGACATTTTTCGTTTGAATATTACTTACGATAATCAACTAGAGAGTAATGTCATAGAAAAGGTAAACACATGTTAAAAAGTGTAACCCAAAAGAAAAAGTTGATTGATGAAGGGGCACCACATTTATATTTAAGGAGCATATAAATTCTAGGGAAAATTTCAAATCAGTACCCAAGGTTGGGTTATTTTCTCAAAAAGGGGTCTAAAGTGGACATAGTGCCAAATAAGGGCTTGAAGTGCCCAATCAGTCTCAAATAGAGGCCCCAAGTGCCCAATTAGTCTCAAATAAGGGCCTAAGTTCGCCAGTCGGTCAAATGTTCACCGGCCGGCAAGCACGTCACTGTTCCGGCGACCGAAATAAGGGTAATTTCATCTTTCGCTTTTTTAAATTTTTTTTTGTTTCTTTTTTCCTTTTTTTTGTTTTTTTCTTTTCCGTTTCCTTTTCTTCTTCTTCTTTTTTTTTTTCCGCTTTTCCCTTCGCCGGCTATAGCCGGGGCCGGTGGAGGTTGCTGGCCTCAGGCGGAGGCTGCCCTCGTCGGCGTCGGGCGAGGGCTCTCACCGAATTCGGCGAGGGTCGCCCTCGCCTAGGCTGGGCGGGCAAGGGTCGTTTGCTCTCACCGGATCCGGCGAGGGTCGCCCTCGCCCACCCAGCCCAGGCGAGGGCCGCCCTCGCCTGACCCTAGGTCGCCCTCGCCTAGGTTGGGCGGGCGAGGGCGACCCTTGCCGGATCCAGCGAGAGCAAGGGTTGCTCTCGCCCGCCCAGCCCAGGCGAGGGCGGGCCTCACCCGACGCCGGCGAGGGCGACCCTCGCCCGACCCTGGGTCGCCTCGCCGGCGTCGAGCGAGGGCTGCCCTCGCCTAGGCTGGGCGGCCCTCACCAGACGCCGGCTAGGCGACCCTTGCCCGAGGCCGGCGAGGGCAGCCTCCGCCCGAGGCCGGTAACCTCCGCCGGCCCCGACTATGGCCGGCGGAGGGAAAGGAGGAAAAAAAAAAGAAGAAGAAAAGGAAAAGGAAGAGAAACAAACAAAAAAAAGGAAAAAATAAAAAAATAAAAAAAAAAAGTAAAAGACGAAATTACCCTTATTTCCATCACTGGAACAGTGACGTGCTTGTTGGCCGATGAGCATTTGATCAGCCGGCGAACTTATGCCCTTACTTGAGACTAATTGGGCACTTAAGACCCCTATTTGAGACTGATTAGGTACTTCAGGCCTTTATTTGGCACTATGTTCACTTTGGACCCCTTTTTGATAAAATGACCCCACTTTGAGTACTGATTTGAAATTTTTCCTAAATTCTATTATCAAACAATGCGAGATATTTCAATAACATGACAAAAAATCATTGAAGCATTCTTTTTCCAATTTTCTAAAGATAATTTGTAGGTAATTATGGTACTTTTGGGTATGGCACCAAGTGCAAAGTATGTCCTGTATACCATAGTGCACATGGATAGACTTGAATCTCTTCAAGAAACCACCTGGATAGACTTGAATCTCTTCAAGAAACAGCCAAGGAGAACCCAAAGTTTCTCGAAAGAACCTGAGTTTGCCAATGTTTTGTCAACCGTGGAACCTTTCACCAAAATCCTAGAGAGATTCCGATTTAATGTAAAGTGCGAACATTGCCAAAGTGGTTATGCATTATCAGCTTGCTGGGCCATCGACATCATAAGCAAGCTTCATCAATTCAACCATGGGAAGCTGAAGCCGTAAGTTCTGGGGGGTTAGGTGAGAGTGGTGACGGAAGGTTGGACTGAAATTGGAGAGAAGTAAAATAATTTGCAAATTGACAAATTAAGATGATGCACCTCCTAATTAATTAATTAATTAAATCGAACGAACCACTTAAGAAATACAAACTAGAGCATAGGTGTTTATATTCCACGATAGTATGGATAGTTTCTTCTGATGCTCGTTTTTTTTTTCTATTATCTTTTGGAGCGATTCCAAGAAAAAAAGAAGAAGATAGAAGTCTAGGTCATTGTATTGTATTGATCTTCGGACACGGGAAGCCGAACTCGATTGAGCTTGAGCAGAGTATCGAGGCTCGCCTATTTGAGCCGAATCGAGCTCGAATAAGAAACCGTGTTGGCTCGGTCCTCTGGTCATGTTTCCGTCTCCACGCTTCGATTCTCGCTCGAGACATCGGTCAAAACTCGAGACATACTTAACATCGCGACAATAATATATTTATGGGGTTTTATGGTATGAACGGAATTTCCTTCCGAGTCAATGGACCCCAATTCTAGAATTATTAGAGCTCTCTTTGCCATCCCAAGAGTCAAGACCGATGGGAATCGTTTGGGTCAGATGACTCCGATCCTTTCAACCGAAAAAGAGTATATGTAAATGTCTATGCTCTTTCCTCCTCCTTTGATTTACTAATTTAAGATCGGTCTTCAATTCGCATCAATATATATGTTACAATTAATAAACGCATCATGTTCAACTTAATCCAGCGCACAAAAGTTGATCCGTCCTCGTCATTTGAATAAAAAGGATCAAGCTGACCTCACAATGTTATCATACTCCGCGTTGACCTTAATTGTTAGCCATCTCATTTTGTTATTGTTAAAAACTAACATCCCATTAGAGTTATTAAGAATTGTACGATTATGTTTGCACACACTAATGCATAAAAAAGAATGAGAAAGGAATGAAGAGAAGAAGTGTTGAAATTGTCCAAAGCCTTCCTCCTCGGAGCCCCCCGCCGGTGGCCAGGTTGCCGCCATGTGGACCGCGCGACGCGG